TGCTGAGCCATGTGGGTCACCCCCGCCCGGGGATCGAACTTGTGCTGTGGTGACTGCAGACAGCTTCATAGTGCTGAGACTTCCCCTGTTGCCCCCAGGGAGACCCAAGTGTGAGTATTTATGGAGGTGAAGCCAAGACACGATAGTCTTGCTGGTCACAGGGTGCTTGTGTACAGTGCTGTGCTCTGAGCTCTGGGCAGCCAGCATGAGTCACCGTCCCTGTAGCTTCCAATCTCACGCTGGTTTATGGAATAGATAAGACCTGTACAGTCTTTGGATTGGAATAAGTCCAGTTATATAGTCAGTCTTGTCAAAATTTTGAAACACAAAGACAAATGTTAGAAAGTGCTGATTATTTTGCTAACCAACCCTAAGACATTTTTCCCTCTCTTAATTGAAAAGATTCTGAATGAAATGATTGAAACAACTCTTTGCCCTTGAAAACTGAGGCTGTGAAATTATTATTTTCATAACTTTTTTATTCCTCTAAGTTATTTTGACCATAAGTTACTTTATTGCTGAAGTTTTCCTTATAAAACAAATACAGATATAGCCTTTAAGAAAATGAAATTTGAATTATGTTATACTTGGCAAAAAATGTTTAGATTCTACTTACCTGGACTAAATATGGCCCCCAGTGTTGTGAATTTATCTCGGTACCTTTGCTCTGTGACCTTTTAAAAAGTGACTTTCCCTCTTTGGGTTCATTTTCCTCATCTGTTGAATGAACATCATATTAGATGATCTTAAAAAATCTTGTATGAGGCAAGTGTTGTGTTCTAGATGGGATCAGGAAGATTGGGCTAGGTTATCTTGGACAAATTACTTCACTGCTTGATTTTCCTGTCTGTAAAATGGGGCCATGTTTACCGTCGTGAGAAGCGTGCTAAGTTCTCAGCGAATGGTGTCATCATTTCTTCAGGTCTGAGCAGTCCGGGTTCACTGTCAAATATCCGTGTGCGGTTTCCAGCAGCCCAGCACTCTAGGCTCAAGACAAGTCTCAGGCCCATGGGCTACCCTGAAGAGACTTCACTCTGCCTAGAGGAACAAGATAAGTGCATGAGACCATGCATGACTGTGTTAGCCCACAATCAGAAACCACGAGGGGCCTTCTCTAGTGGCACAGGGGTTGGAGAACAGCATTGCGAAGCTGGCCACGGCGGCTTCAGTTGAGAGTTCGAGCCCTGGCCCTGAGGTGACCTCCAGGGTGCAGCAGACCTCTCCTGTCTCCCTGCTGCTCCCCTCAGCAGTGTACTTCGTCAGTTGGCCTGTTCTGCTCCCCACTCTGCCTCTGGTGAATCCTCTCACCACCCCTGCACCTCTGGCCTGTACCCCAGTTCTGTCTGCATCAATAAATAACTCTTAAAAAAAAACCCACATTTGGAATATCTTCAGAGTAACACTCCCCTCCCCACTTTGATGGAGAGAAATGAGCAGAAACGTAAAGTGAACTCTGCGGCCAAGATGACGCATCTCTGCTGAACCAGCACTGGCTGTGTGACGGTGAGCGGCCGCTGACGCCCTCCAAGCTCCCGTCGGCCCAGCCGCACAGGCTGCCATGGTCCCGGCTTCCTGGCCTCCGGGTGACTGAGGACCACTGCTAGCAAGTAGCCTTCAGGGACTGGAATTTCCATTTTGGAAGGATGAGGTTGACGACCCTGTGTAATGGTGTGCAGGTACAGAGGCTCTGGCTGTCTAGCCCAGGGGCCCCCCAGTGCACCCCAATTCAAGGGTAGCCTCATTGCTCCAGCAGGACCCCACTCAGAAGCACGTCTCTCCTCGGCCGCAGCCGGGAGCTGTCTCGCCTGGAGTCCTAATCCCGCTAGGGACGTCTCTTTCTGGAGTCGCCTTTTTGAAACCCTTATTTCTGCCCCACCCCACCCACACTGGTGTCTAGAATACACCTTAGACGCTGAACCCTAACTACAGAAATTGTTCGAGTCGACCCCCACCCCCACCCAGCACCCTCCAGTGCTCCCACTCTGGCATGAATGAGGGCCTCTCTGCAGGTGCTGGGGGGAGCTGAGGTGAGCCGCAGCCGCTCTGCGTGCTCTTCCCAGGCTGGGTCTGTGGATCCTTTCGACAACCTGTGGTCCTTAGTCTAACAGTCCACCTTTGGGTGCGTGAACGGAGGCTCAGAGAAGGGTGATTAACTTGCCCGGAGTTGCGCCAGAGCTAAGAATGCAGGTTTCCTGGCTTCACCGGCCAAGGTGACCTGGCCTCTTGCAGAGCTAAACACTAATGGCACCTCATTCTCCCCGCGGGAACCTCCCTGAGGTGGCCTGTCGGCCCCTGGGTGTGAAGCGCCACCCACAGGCCAGCGAGCGGTGGCACCAAGGGGCGCAAGGCTTCAGGATGGTTCTGGGGCCCTAAAAGTAGAGTTGGTGACAGTGACAAGTCACCTTCCCCTTCTGCTCCAAGTTCCCAAGTGACATGAAGCAGAAAGTCTCTCCTTGATCTTGAAAGAATTAGTTACCCCGGGAGCATTTGCTGTTTTCCCTTTTCAACACAACTTATCACCGGAACTCTGTGATGAGCTGAGTTGTATCCAAAGCAGTTGTTTCAGAACTTTCTTTTATTTACTGCCACGGTGTTGATGGCGCATCGCCATCATCAGCTGCTTTCTTTTAAAGTTTAGTTGATTTTTTAAAACATACCGAGTCAATAGAGGGGGGACATGGAAAGTGAAGAAACAGAAAAATGGTCTACAAGCTGGTGATGTTGGGGAAATGCTTAACTACACTCAGCCCCAAGATGAGCAGGGCTTCGCCTGAGCGATACAACTCTAGAAACATGAACTAGCAGCTTCTTTCGGAACAGACACTGTGTGCAATGCCAAGTCTGGAAACATCAGAAAGGCCTGGAAGTCTGGAGCCGTCCTGAAGGCCAGGGACGCTCGGGGCTCCCAAGCTACTCCATCCGCCCTCCCACCCCCAGCACCCAGTACCCAGCTTCCTCTGGAATGGCACGAGCAGCCAATGGCCAAGAACTTTCCAGACACAGGAAAACAACGGTACGAACCAGTCTCGTTACAACCCACCAGAACAGAAGGGGGGCTTGGAAGCCTGAGACTGCTCTTCCGACAGAAGACCCTGCACCTAGTGAAGGCAAATTGTGGGTTTCGACATTTTTGTGGGTCTGGTTTGGAGGGGTCTGACTTGTAAAATACGGTTCAATTGCTTGTGAGTTCCAGTACTAAAAGCATCCTCTGGGCGGGGAGAGGAGGGGTACAGAGTTTCAAGAACTCTCTGATTGCTTGAATATTCCTCAGTCAGAAGCTTCCAGAAAACCCCCAGTCCTTCACAGGGGCACTTTAAGCCTGAGTAACTTCAGTGGAAGAAGAGGATGGTTTCCCTGGGTCTTGTCTAGGGAGAAAGCAAGTTTGTGACAGAGTGGGGCTCCTGTAATCACCCCAAACTGTGTTTCTCCCCCTGGAAGGCATCGTGGGAGAGGGAAACTCGGCTCTCAGAACCATCTCCACGGCATCCCAGTGTACACTCTGGAGCTCTCTGTGCCTCCATTTCTTGCTGGAAATGAGGGTCTCCATACTGACTGCCAGGACTCCTGAGAGCCATGACAGACGCTGAGTCCTCAACGCAGACGACACCTTTGCAGGGGTCACTTCCTGTCCCATGGGATTTTTTTTAAGATTTACTTATTTATGCATAGGAGAACTGTGGGGTAGAAGATTCCCTAGAGACGGAGGATTCCAAGAGGCTTGACGAAGTCCACTGCTGAGGGGACAGCGGGCAGGCAGGAGAGGTCTGCTGCGCCCTGTGGCTCACTCCCTGGCCGGGGACTGAACTCAGGCTGCAGGGGTCATAGTGCTGCGCTTTAACCCCTTGTGCCACCAAGGAAGGCCCCACTGGATTTGTAAAGGTGAAAAATAAAGGCAGGAATTTGATCACAAAGATCTTAACCCGGAGTCCAAGGAACGCGGGGGTCTATAACACCCTGCAATTACTTGCAAAATATTTTACTTTCCTGGGAGACAAGCTCACTAGTGTCAAGGGGCACGTTTGTCCTGCGGTCTGTCCCCACCACCACCTCCCATAGAAGGTGCAGAACCACTACAGGAAAGACGCCAGGGTCACCTCTGCAGGTGACGCTTGGGCCCCTGCAGGGTGACTCAGCGTTGGGGGAAGTGGCTCGCTCTTCTGCTCAGGACTGCTCTCTGACGTTTATTTTGGGGAGCAACAGTGCTTGAAGCTGGGTGTGTCGGTCGTCAGCTCTCTGACCCTTCAGAGACATGTTTTAACCTAACTCATGAGGATGTGATGAAACCGACCCAAGGCTAACGTAGGAAGCAGTTTCTGTGGCTGCTCTCCGCCTGGGTCCGGGGGAGGCTGGGCCCCCACTCATTTCAGCCACTTGCCGGTGCCTCCACGAGGCCTGGGGGCACATTTTCCTGGACTTCCTACCAGCAGTTTCCCAGCAGCACCTTTGTTTCCACCTAGCAATGGCTGGCTCTGCTGTGGCTGACCCTACTTATGTCCCTGTGTCTGTCAGTTGGCGGAAGATACAAAGCCAGAGGTGTCGCTGGCCGTGACCAAGACAGTGTGTTGCATTTTCTTTCTTTGTTGAAATTGCATTACTGTCACTGAAGTAATATCGGTTTACAAGGCCAGTATGATTCAGAGTACGGTTCGCCCTCTTCGGCTACATGTCTCCAAATGGCACCCGGTGCCCAAGCATCCCTAACTCTCCACCCTAGTCCACGTGGCCCCTTACCCTCGGTGGGGTTTCCAGTGTCCACAAGAGGCCCTCTCTGGCTCCACTTACATCCTGGCTGCACCTGGAAATTCCTTCCCTTTATTGCATTTTAAAAGGCATAACTTGTTTTACCTTGCTCGGCTGCTTGCTTGTCTGGGTCTCTGTCAAGCTCTTTTGGAACAAGGCTTACAGAAGCCATAACCAAGATGGCGCCGGAGGGCTGTGCACCAGCTCAGCCTTCACGTTTTCATAACATCCTGTCTCTTTTATTTTTATTTCTCTTTTAGTCAGTTAAAGAGGAGTCAGTCCCCACAGGTTCAGAGGAGAATGTAAGTTACGTGTTTCATGACGGAATCATTCCATGCTCATGATTGGCACCTCAGACCCTTGGGCATTGCAGCTCTGGGGCCTGAGCTCTCGCTGCGCCAGGTGTTATCCATCTGCTGTAGACTCTTTCACCCTTTTATGGGATCAGGGGCCAGTGGGGAATAATGTCAGATGAATATTTGTAGCTGGATCAAGGCGAGCCAAACGCAAAACTGGAGCTCATGTTTTTGTGATGTGTTAGCCTGCAGGGGTTGAAAGAGTCTACTAACCATGACACATCTCTACACTTTCTTAAGACACAGTGACGCTGCAGCCTCTGCTTCATCTACCTTGATTGCTCTTTCATCTTGATTTCCATGGCAACCCCATTCTCTACTAACTGTGGGCACTCCCAGAAAAGGGTAGTTGAGTTGCGTCAGACATGGGTGTCCTGCTGCAAGCTGCTGTGACTGGCTGGAGGGCGGACTTGGACGTGGTGAGTCTATACCTGAGCCTCACTGGATTTTTTTTTTTTTTTTTGATCTTCTGGAGTTAAAATGCTCGAGACAGTGCAGTCAAGTCTGAAAGCCATGGCTCTTTAAGAGCTGCGTTGAAATGTCGCTTTCCAGAACATCTTCCAGGGAGATTACTCATTTGGCCTCCTGAGTTTCAAACTCTGCTTTGAAAGAAGTACAGTCTTTGGCAAATTGTTATCAGTGGGATGAGTGAATTCACAGGTCCTTAATATAGAAGCTGATATTTATCACTTTGCCAAAGCCGAACATGTTTGTTTGGCTCTTTCTAGGTGTCTCTTGTTTACTTGCCAGAGGCAGGTTTGTGTTTTCTTTTTAATTTAGTTGCTGGAACAGAACAGATGTTGAAGATCCAAATAAATTCCAGAAATGTTGTGGTATGGAATGAAAATTAAAATGACTATGTCATTATTCGTGTTAGGAGAAAGGTCCTTGAAATCTGCTTTGTTGTTGTTACTGTTGTTTTTCTCTCTCCCTCCCACTTCCTTCTTCTCCCTCCCACCCTTCCTTTCTTCCATTTTCTTCCTCTCTCCGCCCACCCTATCTCACTCTCCCTCTCCCTTGAATCAAAATGAATAGCTCAGTCAAGCTCATGTCTCATAATTCCAGAAAATTCTGGCAAATCTGTCAGTTTTACCTGACTTTATCAATTTTCTAGAGAGCCAAAAATCTCCAATTAAGCAAACTGAAGGAGGAAATCCTTATATTCAAAAGCAGCAGGTCTGGTCTGCAGCACCAGTTAGCTCTGACCTTCCCAGCTCTCTGAGATGGGCCCTCTTTGGGAGCAACAAGCAATTTGCCATGCGAGGAGTCCGGGCCTCTCACAGCTCACACATTTCACCTCCTAATGCACAACTCAAAACATACATGTTAATGTGACATAAAACTAAGTTATTGATGCCAAAAGAGAGCAGTGAAGTGAAAGAAAGGGAGAAGTGAAAGAAAGGGAACTATTTTCTCAAGAAAGTAAATGGGTATTATCAAAATGGCTTGACATTTGCCCAACAATTAACATTTTTAGTCTCAAGTTTCGCTGTTTATTCTCCTAGAGTGTATTCATTGGTAAGAATGGGTCAGAAAAGCTGACTGTTGCCTCATCGTCCCCAGACTGTGACCCCTTCGGGTCTCCCTTTACTCACTAAGTAGGCATAATGATATTACCCCCTATAGCGGTCCCGTGGGCCTGAAACCAGGGAAGACCTTGGCAGTTGAGGAACTTGCAAACCACCAAGATGGGCCAGGTCTGATCCTGTGAACTAAGAAGGATGTGGAGAGTCTTGAATGGTTGAAAACGACTGAAAAGAGAATGACTAGTTCATGTACATGCTATGACGTTCAGATGTGTGATTATGAATAAAGTTTTATTAGAACAGCCACGCCACATGCAGACACATGTTTCTCTGCTTGTGGCCCTGGGGGCTGCTTGGGGACGGCAGGAGCAGAGCTGAGCTGTTGCTGAGGGCTGCTGGAGGGAAGTACTGGCCACCCCTGCTGTGGCTGGTAGTGCTCTAGGGTGTGAGTGGGGTGAGCGCTTCCAGGGACCAGTGGTCACCTCACAGAGCCACCTCACAGCTGGCTCAGTGCCCCTCTAGGGAAGGCACTGTCGGTTTGATTCTATTACAAGAGAATTCTTGTCCATCTAGTCTATTGATATTTTTTTGTTCGGTTATTTTTATGGAGGTGATGCTGGTTTTTAAGACTTTTCATGATTTAGGGGGACAGTTTCACACCTCTTCAGATGTATGTTACCACCCTATACCCACCACCACAACCTGGTCCATTGGGCCCTCTCCCCACCATGCTGCTCAAAGACGAGCAGCTTCTGGTTAAACGATCGTTGACTTTGTTTTTGTTTTTTTTTAAATAGCTCTGTGGAAAGTTTCCCAGACCGAATTATCAGTCCCTGCAAGTTCCCGTACTTTTACAAAGCAGAGGAGAGAATGATTTCGATATTTCCCAACATTTTTCTTGAAACAATAAAATTGGTTTGGGAGCTGCTTTTTTTAGAATGTGCTTCTGACCCTGTCCGAAATGCCATCTATTTTAATTACAGAAATGACTGCCTCCATTAGCTGTAATCTGAAAGTGCTTGGTTATTGTTTAACGGAATTAACATTTTGATCAATGAGGCAGGGGTATCTTTCCTCCTCACTGACTAAGGAAGTAGGCATTTGTGCTGTTTATCTTTTTGTAAGCAAGCTCTCAACACAAAAGAAAGAAAACTCAGGTCAAACTGGACGCAAAAGGAAATAGCTCATGTTGGGTCTCAACTCTAGAAAGTAGACTTGGTGTCAGATAAAGCTTGACTCAGATTTCCTGGCCTGGTAACATTTCCAGCCTCCCAATGTCACTCTACCCAGTTCAGTGCAGAAGAAAGGAGCGATTTATCCACGGGCAGCCCTGAACTCCCAGGATTTGTTCTCGCTCGCTGTCTCCAATGGGTCCATGTGCTTCATCAGTCAGCTGCCACCAGATTGTGGTGCAGTTAACAACCAGGCCCAGTTTCAGTAGCTTTCAAAGCCAAGATGCTTTTATTCTCGCTCACGCTGCATGTTAGCTGTTGAGGTGGCGATGACTGAGTCACAGGACTGGGATCTGGACTGGGCAAGAGCCCCTTCAGTCAGGACACGCAGTGGTGTGACAGAGAGAAGTGGTGTCATGGCTGTGGTAGACTGGAGCTCCGCAAGCTGGGAACCTCTGGGTTGTGGCTCAATGGTGTATTCTCAGGCTACACTCTCCAGTATGTCACCGAGCCGTGGGCATGATACGCAGTTCTTTTACAGGAAGGCAAAGTGAGTATGGGGGTGAAGGGTACACCATCTATCCTGCCACCCTGAACTCCTATGATCAGAAGCTACACCATATTGGTTGGCTCAGACCTGTTCAGTTGGCTTTGCCCAAATTACGCCATCGTATAGTTGAAAAGAGATCCTTCCCCCAAAGAAAAATGGGCACAATGTGAAGAGAAAGAGAACAGTTATCAGTAGAAAAATAAAATCTCTACACAGTCTTTGTAATCAATAATGTTAAAAATCAAATCAGAAAGAATCTAAAAAGGATTATAAAATAAAAACTTTTAAAATCAACATTATTATTATATTATGGTAGGTGTTTTAAGTGGAGGAAATCTATTTTTGCTACGTATCAGTTCCCCAAACTCACAGCACTAGCAGGAAGCATAGAAAACAAAAATCAAGGGTTAGAAAGGTGTAACACTTAAGGGTAAAAGTGAAACCTTTGCCCGAAATGTGCAAATGCACTATTCTCATGCAAAGTATAAAATCCCCTGCTGAAATCAAGAAAGCAGGATTTAATTCTAAAATAGAGCACAAATCTGATTTTCATTATGTCCATCACACCCAGAATCAGAATGTAGATGTAGTCATGTACTCTAAATAAGGAATAGCTTTGTTCAAAGCCCTGACCTGGAAGGAAACAGGAAAACAATCAGAATCAAATTCATATGTCTATGTATGCAAAGCAGCTCCCCACTTAGCTCCAGTACTTGTGAATTTCCACACTGGTGTTGGTGGATTACCCTTGGCTGCCGAAAGCCAACTTCTTGGTCTGACATCAAAGCCAATGGGAGTCTCTAGAAGTTCCCCCCACCTTTCTGCCTACCAAAATAGCTGACTTTTGATGGATTCTCCCTAGGATTTGTGACTTGACACCTCTCAGCATTTGGAACGGTGCAGCAAGAGAACCATTGGCAATCAAATATATTTGATTTACAAAGTTATTGCCATACCATCTGATCATTTCATTATGTGAAATTCTCTCCAGGCTCCCTCAAAAAAAAAAAAAA